TCAGCAGGCAGGACTGGCCTAGGGGTATTTTAATTGGTTTTAACAAAATTTTAATAGAGCGGCCAATTCAAATATTTATTTTTAATTATTTTAGATTTGTATTTGGTATTTATGTGGGATTGTTTTAAACTGGCTGTAAGCCGCCCTGAGTCCTCCGGGAGAAGGGCGGGGTATAAATGAAATAAATAAATAAATAAATGAAATAAATAAAAATATGTTGGATCTAATCTCTATCTCCATCCATATCTAAAATCCCAAAATTTAACAGACTTCCATAAAGGAGAAGCTAAATAATTAAAGAGATGTGTGTGAAAAGCCTCATCACATTCTTGATCTATTTATTTTGGGGCAGAGAAATTAGGAGTATAGCTCCAGTTAAGGAACCATAAGGAGAGGCATAGCATCACTGCAGCCTTCATCTTTTTGTGGAACTATAATTCTACGGGAGAATGTAAGGGAAAGAAATGTTGTTGCCACAAATATTGTGGAAACAGTTCTGAAAAAAATATGCAGAGGAAGAGAGAAAATGTCTTTCAACTTTAAAGTGATCCTGCATATTCAGCTTTCCAGTCAGGTTTAGGATTTATGGACTATGTCCCATACCAAAAGCCAATGAAAGGACTTTGACTAAGGTGGAAATGTTTTGTTGGTTCTATATACTGGAGAGAGAGAGAGAGAGAGAGAAAGATGAAAGAAGAAGTGAATGAAAGAGGCAAAGATTAATGGGATCATCAGAGGACTAGCTAAGCCTACAATTAAAATATATGGTTTGGACTTCCAAGTTTTGCCCATAATGGGTTGCTTACAATTATTTTATTTTGTTGCATTTCCCTTTTAATTGTATCTGATTATTTCACAGGATAAAGAAAGTGAAATGTTCAGAACTGAAGACTTCTAAATTCTTTCCTCAATGTATAGGTGCTTTTCCATATTTTTGGAAATATGATCAATTCCTTTTTTTATATCCCCCCCCCCAAAAAAAGTAGGGTTGCAGAATAGAAAAACACAGGATTCCAAGAAAAGATATGGCTGCTTTTAAGAGTTGCAGACAGATGTTACCCTTCATGATGTTCCAGAAGACCTTTCGGTTTCTAAGAGAGTCATCGCATTGCCTCTGTGTATAGAAAATATGTCATATATGTTCCCTTTGGATATTGCAGCAAAGAAGGGTGAGTTATAAAAATGTTAGAATAATCTATATTTGTTATTATGTATATAACCATGGTATATTTTAAGTTTTGTTCTGTGAAATGTATTGATATGACATTCACAGCTGAGGACTCCCCTCCAAGCTATAATCTATATGCAAAACTAAAACTTTTCTGTTTAACTGTATGCTATATATTTTTGAATCACTCATTATGTTTCTTCTCCATACTTGATTTAAAGGGGGGGGGGAAATCATGATTTCCCACTCTATGCTTCCCAGCTCTAACATGTCAGAAATTAGGAACTGAATGAGGTTGCTGGTTCCAGTGTGGATTTCAGTGGGGCATATTTCATTCCTTGTCTAGTATTTGCATAGCTTGCAATTTGTGTTCCAAACTGAGTTAAGGGATTCATTGCCTGGGGAGAAAAAATTATCTCCAGCTCAGTGATCCTTTCAGTTCCAGGATAGTTGGAGATATTACCGTTAAATGATATATGGCAATTTACAGAAGCAGTTGCTACTTGTGCTTTCATTGCTTAAGCTTTCTCTCTTCCTTTCTCTCCTTCTCAGGCTCTTAAGCTGACACTCATTGATAGGGGTGAAGCAAAATTAACACATTTAAATCATTGACCTTTAGATTGACACTTAACAGGTTAAACTAAGAAAAGTTGACTTTTTTTAAAGAAATGTCAAACCATATCTGATCCACTGAACTTACTGTATAGAGATAAGTATGCACTAGGTATAATTTCATTTCTTTCATGATCCAGGTTGAAAAAAAAGAAAGGTTGCAGTCCTATATATCCTTACCTGGGAATAAGATCCAGTAAACTCAATAGGTTTATTTTCAAGTAGACAGAAGTATAACATTGTGCTGCAAGCAATCAGGCCAGGGGTCTTCAAACTTGGCCATTTTATTATTTGTGAACTTTAACTCCCAGAATTCCTCAGCCAGCGTGCCTGGCTGAGGAATTCTGGGAGTTGAAGTCCACAAGTCATAAAAGGGCCAGGTTTTAAGACCCCTGAACTAGGCTACAAAAGCAGGAGGCTGTGAGTTCAAATCACGCCTTAGCTATGAAAGCCAGCCAGGTGCTTTGGGCCAGTCATTCCCTTTCAGCCCAACTCATCTCATAGGGTGTTGTTGTGGAGAAAATAGGAGGAGGAAAGTGTGGTGGATATGTTCACTGTCTTGTGTCATTTATAGAAATAATAAAGATGGGATGCAAATAAATAAATGAATACAACAATTGGTAAAGGAGTAGTAGACATGCTTCTTTTAAAGAAGACAGCTCATCAGGACTAACATTTGAGATTACTATTCTTTTACAACAGGTCTGAGTATTTTGCAGCATTAGAGGCAGTTTTAGCCTCCACAACCCATTCTGATTGTGTTCTCAAATTTTAATAATATGGTTGCCAAAAAAGAGCAGCAAAATTTCTTAGATGGAAAAATAGAAAAAAAACCTATGATTGAATTTAAGATGTTTACAATGCTACATGGCTGGTGACAAGCAAAAATGTAAATTTGCACTCAAATTGCTTAATATTTTTCTAAGAATAATTTAAAGCCATTGACATTTAAGTATTATATTCAGATTGTCCATTTTATAGATTTCCACATATGTTCATTATGTCAGTGACTGTTATTTCCATGTTATTCAGAATGCAGACAGTAGCAAAATAGGATCACATATGTTGGATCTAATCTCTATCTCCATCCATATCTAAAATCCCAAAATCTAACAGACTCCCATAAAGGAGAAGCTAAATAATTAAAGAAAAGCCTCATCACATTCTATTTATTTCTTAGATGGAAAAATAGAAAAAATAACCTGTAGTATAAAATACATCATAGAGTTAACTTTTAAAAATGAAAATCTGCTCTCTAATCATAATCTAGATAGAATAGAAAATTCCATCCCACTCCACATGTCAGGGGTCTTCAAACATGGCCTTTTTATGACTTGTGGACTTCAATTCCCAGAATTCCTCAGCCAGGCATGCTGGCTGAGGAATTCTGGGAGTTGAAGTCCATAAGTCATAAAAGGGCCAAGTTTGAAGACTCCTGACATATGTGATGTACCTCCATCTATTTCCATAAATGGTCCTTGCCTACAACTTTTCATTCCCTTAATAAATCAGTTTCATCCCATCACATTCACTTGGCCAGGCAGAGGAAGTATGTTGTAGACTCCGCCAGTTAAAGAAGTCTGACTAGTGGGGTCTAGAAAGAGAACCTTCTCTGTCATTGCCCCCACCCTATGGAATATTCTCCCCCCCAGAAATGAGGTGGGCACCCACTCTCCTGGCCTTTTGAGAAAGGGTTAAAACATGGTTCTGCAACCTTGCATGGAGAACCCAAAAGAACATGTAACCATGGGGTTGGTTGGTGCCACGAGAGCTCTCCCTTTGCCATTGTCAATGAATTTTTAACAGGGTTTAATCATGTTAAGAAAACCAAAATCATGGCATCCGGCCCTCTCAGTTCCTGGTAAATAGATGGGGAAGAAATGGAGGTATTGACAGATTTTATTTTCCTGGGCTCCAAGATCACCTCAGATGGGGACTGCAGCCAAGAAATTAAAAGACACTTGCTATGGCAAATCTAGACAGCATACTAAAAAGCAGAGACAAAAGTGCATATAGTCAAGGCCATGGTTTTCCCAGTTGCAATGTATGGCTGTGAAAGTTGGACCATAAGAAAGGCTGAGCGACAAAGAATCGAGGCCTTTGAACTATGGTGCTGGAGAAGACTCCTGCGAGTCCCCTGGACTGGAAGGCGTTCAAACTGATCGGTCCTAGAAGGGATCAACCCCAACTGCTCTTTAGAAGGCCAGATCCTGAAGTTGAAACTCAAATACTTTGGCCACCTAATGAGAAGGAAGGACTCACTGGAGAAGGGCCTAATGCTGGGAAAGATTGAGGGCAATAGAAGAAGGGGACGACAGAGAATGAGATGGCTAGATGGAGTCACTGAAGCAGTAGGCGTGAGCTTAAATGGACTCCAGAAGATGGTAGAGGACAGGAAGGCCTGGAGGAACGTTGTCCATGGGGTTGTGATGGGTCAGACACGACTTCGCAATTAACAACAACAATCATGTTTGCCTCCTTAATTTTTTTTTTATAATTTTAAAAAAGTAATTCTAAAATGTTAACTCTAACAATCTTATTTTTATACACTGTTTTTATATTTTGATGTTTTATTGTACACTGTCCAAACTACCTCTTTGAAAGAGATGAATGGTTCAGAACTGTGAAATATAAATAAATATAAATAAAAAGTAAAATTCCTGACCACCAAAATATTACTCATCTTGATTTCATACTTCCTTATAGGGTTAAAATTAATTTCTCAGCTTAAATAGCCAAAGAAATAAAGTCAAGTATGATTTACCTTTTCTGTGCCAATGGTGCCCAGTCAGATGCTTTGATAGTGAGGGTGTAGGACCGACCTACTACCAATGTAATTCCTGGTGCAATGGTGATAAGGCCTGTCTTATCGTTGATTGTGAAGTCTCCCTGGTCACCAGCCAAGATTTCATATCTAATCTGTCCATTTGGACCTTCATCTACATCCATAGCAGTAAGCTGCAATTGAAAAGAATCAACATTCTAGGTTTATTGTTGTTTTGCAACAAGAAGAGTTAAAGTACAATCAGAGGGAGCTTATGATATATCCTATGATATCAGTCCTAAACAGTCAGGTGTTGAATTATGAGACTAAATGATATAAAAACTGCAATCTAAAATATAAACAAATAGTATAAAGCAGTGTTTCTCAAGCTTGGCCATTTGATGATGGGTGGACTTCAACTCCCATAGTTCTTCAGCCAGCCATGCTGGCTGACACATTCTGGAGTTGAAGTCAACCCTTCCTCAAGTAGTCAAAGTTAAGAAACACTGTTGTAAAGAAAAGAAAAACATTAGTTAACCTAGGAATATGATTACAGAATTATATTTAGGAATGTCTTTTGCCCAGGACATCCACATTTATTACCATTTCACATTACTTTTTTTTTAATCTGGAAGCATTTGAGGCAGCTAAATATTAAAATAAAAGATATATAGTTAAAACCTAACAAAAAGCTGGTTGAAAAGCCTACTGTACCACATCCCATTTGGCTCTAAAATGTACCATTATCCTCATAAGCTTTGGAGTGGAATGAGTTGAAAGGATGGAGACAATGGCAAAAAAGTGGATATAACTGCAAGAAATGTACTATTCATTAGTGACTAGTCAATAATACCACCAACAGTCATAATTGTCTCAGGGGAACATGATCCACTTGTGCCAGTCATTCAGAACTAAAACATCTCCGTGATTAAAATAACATGCATCCACCTGTTCATCAAATATATTCACATACACTCATCTTTTCTTGTTTGAGAGGACAATGATGGGTGGGAATTTTTCTCATGGCATCTGTATGTAAGTTATACTTGAATGATTAAGAGCCAAAGGCATGCTGTGGTTTCTATTGAGAACAATTACTGTACTTTAAAGGTGCAGCTGTAAACTCATTTACTAAGAAGTAAAACCAATTAAGCACAGTAAGACTTCTTTCCAAATAAAAACTCATCTTTTGAATGGCTGACAGCATCAGCTGCAATCTTAAAGTACTCAACTGAAAGAGATGCCTTTTTCTTGCTAAAACTGGGAAACTATTACTTTAATCATGTAAACATTTCTTTGTCGAACTGTGCATAGTTGCTGATCTCCTCAATTAATGCTATTAATAAAGATTGAAGGTTTCTTTGAAAAAGTATAATAACAGGCCTTCTCCAGTTCAGGGAATGAGGAGAAGAAGATAAATCAAAGCCTTTCACAAAATACCAGTCCTAACCATTTAATGACACGCTAGGAACCAGGCCAAATTTTATTGTGACAACATGAAAAGGAAAAATGGTAGAATCACAAATACCTAAATTAACAAAGTTAATTAAATTTACAAATGAGCATGGTTGGAAGCGTTAAGTTATCTGAATAACATTTGGAAGGAGCAAAAATATGTCTGAAAAGGTAGCGTTAAAATCACAGAACTGTCATACTGCCCTATGATTCAGAATATACAAACTGCAGGTGTCTTTGGTAGATAGGCGCCAGTTTATATGATCCTGGACATTCCTGAATCTATAAAAGCAGTTAAAACAAGGATCCTTTCTGCTCTCTCTCTCTGTATATATCTCATACAGGAATGGTAATTTTGTTCCCTAAAAATAAGCAGTACTCACAACTTGACAATGATGGATCTCTTCGGTTACAGCTCAAGGAAAGCCCAATTTGCCTTGGGCAAAAAAAAAAAAAAAAAAGCTCTAGGCAGCTTACATTGCATCCTGTCTTTAACAATACTGTGTCTTTTATAGTAATGCCACATTTCATTTGTTGCAGTCATTTTTTAAAAAAAGTTAGTTCAGCTGGACAGAGCTCTCATTACCAGAGATATTTTTGGCCAAAACATGGGAAAGCTAATAAGACATCTTGACTCTTGTAGTTCAATATCTGTCATGAACTAAAAAGTTCAGGCAAATTGGTCTCATTCCCAAATGCCTAACGTGATTATATCCTGCTGGTCTAAATTGAAATGTGCAGTTGTTTTGCTTAGGCAGCTTTGCTTTCCAGCTACCACCCTTCAATTTCTCAGAATCATTCACTATTAGCATATATTTATTTTAGCTATTTGAATCGTGTTGTGAAAATTGTCATGGAACAGCATGGCTGATACCTTTGGATTAATAAATTATTGGGGTCTGCTATCACAAAATGTACATAGCTCCTGGGTTTTTCATTTTTTTGTGATCTCAGTCTTACACTTAATATGGAGCAAGAGATTATTTATTGATCTGCAATATTTATAATTCAATTATTCATTCAGACTCAATTTGATATGGGATGACTCATGACTGTAATATTTTTCTTTTCTTGACCACTACCAATAAAGATGGAGGAAAGCATTTGAAAAAGTAGGGACAAAGAAATTGTTTGTACAACATCCAGAGACTGTGAGGGAGATGGGTGATTTCTAAATTTGATAAACAAAAATAAATAAAATTAAAAAGGCATGTGAGAAATCTATGAGAAATCTGTGACATCCCAGCTAGGATTACGATGGGATTCTGTTATATACTTAATGGGAGAACAGAATGAATACAGTGCTAAAAGAATGACGACGAAGACATATTTTTATGATCAAAAGATGTAAGTATGTGACTATTTTATTAAGTACATTTCCTTTGTTATCAAGAGGCAAGGCTCTCTAGGTGCCTCATAAAACTGAAGATGCTCACAATAAATATCATGTGAAGCCTAAAACAGTCATGGAATTTTAGGTAAAAACAACAACATATGAGAACTGGAGAATTTAGCAAATTCAATAGTTTTGTTTATACAGTCAAAACACATTTCTCTAGCTATGTATGGCTATGTATGAAAGAAACATTCTTTCTGTGAAACTGGCCATTGTGCAATTATGATTGATGATTTGTGTCCAGATGATTTTAAAACATGGTATTCCCTGAAAGGTACATCCAGTCTTTACTCATTTCAGAAGGCCATGAGACTGAGGATAATATAAATACAGAAGTTTTAAAACCCAATTTTGTGCATTCTGTTTGTCATTTATTTTTTATGTACCAACTAGACTTTGAAAACTTTGCATCAGATCAACTGAATGTTGCCCATTTTTTTAAAAAAATGAAGAGAATACTATGCATATTTCATGTCTGCTTGAAATATGTGAAGATTGTGCAAAATTTAGGCCATTGTGGTGCAGCACTATGCATATTCTGAAAACATTTGGACATACATTATTTGTTTCAGCTAATTTTTTTTATCAAAATCTACTGGGGGAAAAATCCCAAGTGTTTTATATATTCATTTGATTTACATCTCACATAGCAATTATTCAAGATGGCTCAAACAATGTGACATTGTGTTAGACTAGACCTAGCTAACTTTCAAGCTAAAACAAAACAACAACAATGACAAACCCAAACTCAATAATCTTAATTTCTTTTGAATCAAATATTCTAAAACATATGAGGCTAGGATGCAATGCAGTTGTGACCAGCTTAATATCAATAAAGTTAACCCCCTATCCATTTAGGGCTTAGATCTTAATTTACATTTATTATCTTCTGCTGATTCTTTCATCATAGAACATGTATTTCATTTTATTTTCATTAGAATATAGCTACAAAAATATAGGCTGTTAACCCATGGAGACATACAGAGAAAATACAAGTTATTATTTAATACAGTGGTACCTTGGTATTCAACTGCTTTGAAACTCATTAAATTTGATACTCAATGCATTTTGACATGAAAATTTTGTCCTGGTACTCATCATTTGTTCGCTACTCAACACATACGCTAGAACCTGTTGGTACTGGCTGCATTGTGACTTGCTACATTATTCCTTATATTTTGTTTGGTACTTATCATTTTTGGTACTCATTGGGCCTTCCGGAACCAATTAACAATGAGTCCTGAGGTACCACTGTAGTTAAATACCAATCTTCTCAAACTTAACCTCTATTCTCCATTGGCAGGGTTAAATAATTCCTCTATAATAGAAGGAACTTAGATCCAGATTTAAAAGATTTTTCTTTCTAACTAGGGACTATACTGTTGTTCATTTTATTTAAAAAGAGAAATGAAGGCAAAGAGGAGAAGAGTTGGAAAAGACCAGACTCATACCTAAGTAGACAATAAATAGCAGGCAAAAATAGATAAGGAATAAAGTACAGATATTGTGGATAGACCATAGCATTTATTTTTATAGTTCTTTTTCAAAACTTTGAATTTATTTCAGCTTCTATTCCTAAGAAATCTGTACTGTACAAGAGATGCTAAAGAAAGAATAACCCCCATTACAAGAAGATTTAGGAAAAAAAATAAAAGGAGAAACTATTTAATGAATTATAAGATTCATTATTAGAGTTCTGAAAATTATGGTTAAGTTATCATTGAGAAAAGCAACTACCTAGAGTTCAATTGGGAAATCAAACCCGTATAATAGATCCTTTCATGGTCATTCTTTCATTCAGAGAAATAAGTAGCTAGCTGTTTTCATCAGTCTCAAAATCCAAATATGTTCTATTTTAATCACACAAGAGAGTATTTTAAGGGTAGTCAGATCTGAATTAAGGAAAACCAATAACTATCTAGCCAATCAGCCTTGAAAGTGCTTGGGTTATCTTTTTAAATCTACTTAACAGTCAATGTAAATAGTATAAACACTACGAATAGCTGGCAATGCTAGGATGACTCCTGTATTTATTATTAAAAGATCTGAATTTTTTTCATGATCAGTGGGGCAATAACTATTATAAACTTTTTAAATATAGAAAGTATGGATGAATCAATGAAGGAGAATATTTGTACCTCAGGGTTGAAATGAGGGGTTCTTGGTGCTCTCTGAGCTTGCTTGTTTTCTTGCAGACATTTCATTACCCTAACTAGGTAACATTATCAGTGCTAGTAAAGAGTGCTGTTTGCTGTCAGTTTATATTCTGGTGTCTTGCTATCTGTGTGGGTTGGGGAGGTCTTAGGGATTCTTTGGTCAGGCTATTTACTAATGGCTCTTTGGTAGTTTCTTGATTGGGGTATTGTTTACTTGATTGTTGGTCTGAAGTGACCTTGGAGTTAATCTATGCTGATCTGAGTGCTGATTACTGGTGGACACATGCTGGAGTCTTTTTCTCTTTTGGGCTGCCAAACCATTCTATTGGGATTGCATAGTTATGGGGTGAAAAGTTTAACTTTGTAATAGTGTTTCTTTTTGAAGGGGATTTTAGATTTGGTTTCACTTTTGACTGTGTCAATACTATGTAGCCAATAAACATGTTTTTTGAGGAAATCTCTAGCCTTGGAGTTGTGATTTGTTTCGTCTCATCTGTCGGAACCTTGACACTTTCTTTTCTGTTTTTTTTCCTGATTTTCATTTCTTTTGCTATTTCTTATTTTTCCTTTTTGTATACCATTGCATACCATTCAGAACTGTATAGGGAATGTGGCAATTATTTTGATAATATTATAACTGTGATTTCTAACAGCTGATATTCTAGACCAAATTAAATTTAGCTGTAAATTAAATTATTATTCCTCTTAGTAACAGCAAAAAACACACACCTTTTCTCAAACTACTTCCTATGTTTGCCTTTTGTACTTATATAACAGGCTTTATTCCTCATCCATGGACAATATTATATTTCTTTTCCATTCAAGGCCAAAGTAACCTTTTTTGTCATATTGGTCAGTTACCTAAATAATCACAATATATGATATCTGACAATTTATCTACTTGATTTATCTACTACTATTATTACTACTTATTCTACTGATGAAAAGGAAGTTTTCCTTATAGCTTACTAGCTTTATATAGCCACCTACATTTGCATTTCAGAAAAAAGGCATCGATGCCACTTGAGTTGTATATGGAATGACAACCATATAGGTGGTGAATTGTACAAATCAGTTTTAAGATCTTACAATTAAGCCTTTTTACAATTGTGAAACTAATGATTCCATCTGGATGTATTATACATAAATATTAAGATAATCAATTTCATTGACAATAGAATAAGATTTCTGAGATATTGTGTCTTTCGTTCCTATAAGGAAAATTGTATTACCTTGAAGATAAAAATTTCTCTGAAGTGAATCAAAGGCATGTCACAAACATCTAAATTTATTTCATACAACTAATTTCAGCTAATTTGTCATGTACAAATTGCAGGGTACTTATATTTATTAACCACTTTTTTGCAAGATTCTAATAACTATAACAAAATATATATCAGATCAGTTAGTACAAATTATGGATTTAAGTAACTCAGCTATACACCTTAATAGAAGATCTGACATAGTACACTTTCAACAGAAGAGAATATATGTAGCTCACAGTTGAAATATGGAGTCCTTGATACTCTCTGAACTTGCAGACCTTTCATTACCCAACTAGGTAACATGATCAATGCCAGTGAGGATGGGATTGCTCCATGTTTATACAGCATACAGTGGCCTGCCCTGCCACTTTTAGTGAGGGTATGGATTGTAGTTGCTTGATTGGGGCATTGACTTTTGTTTAATTGTTTGTCTGGTGTTAATCCCTGCTTATCTAGGTGTTGGTTCCTGAAGATGATGTGTTCTGGTCTTTTTGTTTCCTTTTTTCTTGTCTCTTTTGAATATTCTATAAATGTGGTTTATCTCTGTATCAAAGGAGACATACCAGGAGTGCAGTGGGGCTTGGGACAGCTGCTGCCATATAAAAGAGGGTGTGTGAGTGTGTGCAAGTGGTACGGGAGGTTCAGCATGACTGTGGCTTGGGGTGGTCACTGATGAATAGGACAAGGTGTGCAAGGCTGTGCCAGTGATGGGAAAGTGCAGAGGGAGTATAGTGAAGTTCAGAGAGGGGACACCGGTGGGGCACACTTCCCTAAGCAACTTGTAATTTTACCTTGTTGGCTTCCTTATTGACTTTGCTTGTGGAAGCCAGCAGGAAAGGTCACAAATTGTAACCATGTTTCTCTGGAATGCTGCAATTATACAAGCGCAACACTCAGATCACAATCACATGACCACTAAGGTACTTTGACAGCTGAATCTTTGAGGACCAATCATAACCACTTGTTCAAAAGAATCATAACTTTGAATGATCATGGAACAGCATCAACCAATGATTACTTGTGATTTTCAAAAATTGTTTTGAAGGAGTAATTTAAATCAAGTACATATACTGAATTAAAAATATAAAATGTGAATCTATCTTTAGCACAAACCTTTCAATTTCAAGATAATTTCTACTAGTTTGAAGGTCATATGAAGCTTTCAAAGAATGTTATTGATCATGCTTGAAAAAAAAACGTGGAACCAGAATTCAAGGTAGGACCTATAGAAATTTAAAAACTGAAGTCTTTGCCAAGCTTTAAGACACTACATTACTTAAAATCCTCCTAGCCACCATCATCAACAATGCATACAAAAAGGTGGCTGAATAATTACCATTGGGACAAATATTTATCACAGCAACAATTTATAGCATGGTAAAGAAAATAGATAGTAATTATTTGATACTTGTCATAAAAATCTAATAATATTGGCAATGGAATATTTTGTCAACTTGTTAGAGGAAGCAACAACTTAACAGTGAAGGAGCAATTAGTTTGTCTGTTGTCAAATATGAGTCTATTTGGCTAGCAAACATGTCAACTTGTAAGCCTAGCTGACTTTCTAGAAGATTCTAGTAAAGAGAATAGTTCCTAAAAACTTAATTCCTCCCTCCTACTTAAATTTATTTTCATTTTAAATTATTTTTTATTTAAACATTTTTGAAGAACAAAACATGTAATGAAAAAAGAAAAGTGGTGAGAAAAGAATAAAGAAATGAAAAAGGAGAAAAAGAGAAAAAAATGGGAAAGACAGAATGTAAAGCAATAAAGCAATAATAAATGCAATTGAATTTTATGCTCTCTCTCTCTAAGGTTATATCATAATCCCTTTGTTCCATAACACAAATTTATTTTCCCATGTCTTATTATTTTTATTAAAAAATTGGCTGAAAACTCAGAGAAGAGAAACTGCTCTATTACCTTGATAACGCTTTCTCCAGGCCTCATGTCTGTGTAGATCTTGACATTATATGATATGTTTGAGAAAGTTGGAGAATTATCATTTGCATCAAGCACAAAAATATTGACTGTGACTGGCAAACTTTCTTGTACTCCATCGGAAGCTGTAATCTTCAGAATAAATAGATGTGAAAAAATAATGTATATAAAATCAAAGGAGACGTTCTGCTTCTGGTTGTTATTACTAAATTACTAACTTATTAGTTTGAATACTTAGAAACCAACTCCTTTGAAGCCATCTCTAAGCATATATTTAATATGCATAAAGTACATTTCACACATAATTGCATCTAAAAAAATCATTGGCATTTAAAAAAGTCATTTAAAATTAAAATTATTATTTTATGATATTCTTTAAAGCCCATTCTACATTATGGATGGCGTATGCTTAATTCCCATTTTAAAGACTCATTTTAGATCGGATTGATTTCAGTAGAATTAAGGCTATTCTCATTTAAACTGGAATTAAACTATATATTTTTTTCATATTCAACTGAATTTAAAAACAAAGGTATTTACTGTCTATAGGGATCCAAAAATAGTTTTAGATTAATACAATTTTTGGTGTCTGATATGTAAAAAAAGTCTCTTCACAGAAAAATCATTCTAACAAATTTCTAATGATTAATTAACATGTGGATAAAATATTCAAAAGTGAGGATCACCATTTGTTTCTTTTTTAATCCAAGGAACATACTTTCATTATATTTTTCACCTTTCAAAGGCTGCAATAACATAGATTTGTATATACTCTTTATTACTGTCACTACCTAGCAAATGAAACAGTTGGCTTCTTAAAAAAATAAAACAAAGAACATAGCAAGCGACAGCATTAGAAAACATAAACATTACCTGAAAAAAAACTGTAAGACACCTAAAGTCTAGAATGTTTCAAGATGTTGATAAAAGGGTATATAACAATTTGTTTGTTTGTTTGTTTACCTTTATTATTTTTACGAGTAAGTCAAGGCAGTCAACACACCTTTCTTCTCTTACAACAACAACCCTGTGAGGTGGGTTAGGCTGAGTATGATGAGCCCAAAATGACCCAGCTGCATTTGTGTCTAAGGCAGGACCTGAACTCACTGTCTGCTGCTTTCTAGTTTGGTGCATTAACCACTAGACCAAACTGGCAGGAATAAAGCCTACATAAGAGGTTTTATTAACAATTTACAATTCTTTTCAACAAACAATTGACAATTTAAAATAAAATACCATAAATTAAGGTAAAAATACTTTAAAATAAAGCAGTTATCAGGAATGTCAGCTTCAATGAATTGGACAGATCAGGGAGATATGAAGAAGCAAAAACAGCTTCATGCCTTGTGGAGGCCTAAATCACTTATAAACGTTGCAGTTCCTGCAGTAATGTAATTATCATTTGGGCACTTTGCAACTGAAGTGCATTTATGGCAATTGCAGCATCCCATAGTCATGTGAGTGATACTTGTGTACTTCCCTATCAGCTTGTGACAAGCAGAATTAATGGAGAATGCAGAAAAAAACCTTGTAAATTGCGATTATGCAATGTTTCTCTTAACATGTGCAGTGTTACTGACAGAGAGGGAAGTAATGCCATAAATCCATGCTTGTCACATGATTTGCAGATCCCAATTGTGGTCGCTAAATGAGGACTATCTTTATTGATATGTTGTTGTATCCTATTCAAGAGGCAAAGCTCTCATTAGAAAAATTGCCTGTGCTTGAGTGAACTTTCTCTTTGCCCTTAATCCATTTTTTTTCCAAAAAGTTTTGCTTCCTGAAAAATGTTTGGTGATTATGATAGGCTCCTTCAAATTGAACACAAAAGTAATTTCAGAATGGTTGTATCATGTAGGAATCTTGAGAAATATGAAATTAACTTCTATTGACTATAGAGTATTTAACCACATAAAGTTCTGACATGCTGCATGGGTTCAACAGGGTTAAAAGTCTTTTGCTGCTGATTTTCACTTGCATTCAGTTTCCAGTACATCTCACTGCAGTGTCCAATGATAGTCAGCCAGTATTGATGGATTCCAGTTGCCCTGATACCATTTTTCCATTGTGGCAATGTCCTGGTAAAACCTTTCACCATGTTTATCACTGACTGAAGCTAGATTATTGGGGAAAAAGTCCAAATAGGAATGCAGAAAATAAATCTTCAGTGAAATGTTGCACTTCACCGTCTTGTATACTTAACAAGTTTGTTAACCAGTAGTTTGGTGTTCTGTTGTTGCCAAGAAAATTTTCAAGAACATCCTTAAATGCTTTCCAGGGTTTTTTCTCTGGCTCTACTAACAGATCTTCAAACCACTTGTCATTGATAACGTATATAATCTGTGGACCAACAAAAATGCTTTCCTTAATCTTGGCATCAGTTATTCTTGGAAACATCAGTCTCAAATAATGAAAGTCTTCATCTTCCTTGTTCATCATTTTCACAAAAATTTTCATCAGTCAGAATTTTATGTGGAGTGGAGTCAAAAAATATCTTTGTCGCATCAACAAGTGGTTTATGTGCCATGTTTTTCTGACCTGAAACCAAATTCTTTCAGAGTGTTTAACCTATTGTGAGTCTCTTGCATGGCTGTCCTATTTACACATGTTACAACAGTACTTGGTATAACTGAGCTGCATTCCAAGCAGCACAGCCATTACTTTTAGATCTCCCTGATATTCCAGTTGTCTTTGGTATACTGAATGTACTTTAACAACATTTCCATGTGTTTGCATATTTCTTTCATGTCTGCAACATAGCCAACAGGTACTGAAGGATGTATACTGCCATTGTATAAAAACAGGAGATTTCTATAAAATGGTATGTGATTATTTTCATGATTTGCAGTCAAAAAATCTATAAGATACACCCACTACCCACACCCTGAAGTATTCAGGAAGCAAAATCCAGTGTTTCTTACATTTTTTAAAGAAATGCTAGGTTTCAGAGGAGCACAGTTTGAAAACATTGGTCTGAAGTATGAAAGCTGCATTCAATAAATGACCAGATCATTCCTGGAGACAAAAACATATCACTTGTGCAGGGGCAACATTTAATCATTTGCCATAACCCTAGAACTGATGGTTTACATTAAAGATAGATAGATTTCACTGGATAGTTTATAGCAGAATTTGGACAACTATGTATTGGGAATCCTGTGGTTTTATTTTTTGTTTTTGTTTTTTAGTTTTGCTTTGATATCATTTCAAGTATTTCTCAGGAAGTCCAATGAGTTGGTCAGGGCTAATCTTAAACTCTAATACTACCTTTCCAACTGTATATCAAACACTTCACCAGATCAACTAGAGACCCATCAGCTACATTTGTATGACTACATAGCTTTGTTAATTTTAATCTTACTTACTTGCTATTTTATACATTATGCAAGGTCTGATCATTTTATTTTTTTATGTTCCATAGCTTGTTCAATTCTGTAAAATTCTAACAGTTTTCTTAAGATCTCTGTCAAATTAAATTTTCAGTTTTGCGATAGTTGAAAAAATTACCAGTGCCATTCTGACAAAACTCTTAAAATCTCATTGCTTACCGAAAATGTGTACAACTGCTGAAATTCTCTGTCAACTGGCTGAAGTAAGGTGAGGTAACGGGCTATTCCATTCTTAGTCACGGTGAAAAATGTATTGTAATCATTTAGAAACAGATGGAGCAGTGGGTCCTTTGTCTTCAAAGTAAAACAAGATGATAATTACATTCTCAAAGGGATAATAACAATATATATATATATATATATATATATATATATATATATATATATATATATATATATATATATATATATATATATATATATATATATATATATATAT